TACAAACAAGCAAGACCGTTTTCTTCCTTCCTATTTCTTTCATTGTACAATATGTTGTGTTTTAATACCCCATTTAAAATTTAATAATTGTATACATTTTATGCACTCCTGATTTTTCTTGTTTTTCTTTTGACTTTGACTATCAAAAGCTACTTGTGCTGAACTTCTATTAGTTAGGTTTCTTTTAATGTTTGTTTTTCTCTTTATGTGTATTGGCGGTTTTCATTGTTTTGTTTTGTTTTGTTTTTGCAAAATGTGCATTAGGAGAAATGCAGAATAAAATGCTTATATCTATCTATCTATCTATCATCTATCTATCTATCATCTATCTATCTATCTATCTATCTATCTATCCATCTATCTTTATCTATCTATCTATCTATCTATCTATGAATGAATGAATGACAACCCAACTATGACCGTGGTTGGGTGGGGTGCCAAGTACTGAACAGATTATCAAGGGCACTCTTTTAAAAAACTATTTCTTCTCACATACCAGGACTGAGCCCTAGTTCTTCTGAGAACAGTTCCTGGATTATTACACACTCCACACATATACTTCCACAAATTAAGTCTTGGTGTCGTGCACTCCCCGCCCCCGTCCCCAACTGCTAGGATGCTTCACAGGCCATATTGCTGATCACAGGTATAAGCTGTAATTTATAAGGATAGATGAAACTGTCAATTTTGAGTCTCTCAGTTTCTCATTTTTCCACTCTTAAATTCTGTTGTCCACATTTCTTCACCAGTTTGCAATTTTTTTAAAAAGTTCTCATGAAAATGTGTGAACTTCCCCCGCTGTACACATTTTTGCAAAGCAAGTTCCCCACATATAATGCGTTCTTGTACGCTGTTTCCACTAATGCAGACTTTCCCTTTATAAACATATTTTTGGACACATTGCTTGGCTGGAGGACTGTGCTGCAAAATTTGGAGAAGTGAGAAATTTGATGGATGGCTGTGTTTTGATTTGTATCTTTAAAAAACCATAGAGAGCAGATTAGGTAGGTTTGCCTTTAAATGCAAGCTGAATCTGATTTCTCCCCTATCTCCTTGCTGTAAATTAAGCATTTTGTGTAGGAAATACTGGCTACCCATTCTGGATATTTCAAAGCACCAAACCTTAGATCCCAGCCACCCCACCAAAGTGAATTCTCCAGGCAGTAGAAGCCTGGGAAGGACAAAAGTAGGCGACAGCCCCCACCCCCCAGCCATGCTGCCTTGCTGCTGTGTACAGATCACATGTCTCGTTAGCTGCGACTCGTGCCCTTCATTATTAGCCTGCTTGGCTGGTCACAGGAGACGGTGCTTCACCATTAGCCCACGCAGCCCCCTTCCCCAAGTGGCTAATGGCGGTCAGAAAATATTGGGATGATAGTATTTACCCAGCGGAAATACTGCAAGTCTTTCTCCAGAGACAAGGGTTTGCAATGCAGAGAGGATCTGTGGTCTTCCCCCCACCCTCTGAGAACACCGTGATTTGAATAAATCAGTGGATTTGGGGAGGGGACAGAAGGAGGAAGAGAGAGAGCAATGGGCTCTGCTCTTAGTTGAGGCATTGAAGGGCCTATTAGCGATCAGACAGCATAGGAGGCCCAAAACACAGACTCCCATGTTTTTGTTTCTATTTTTGTGCTGGAGAGAAGCAGCTACAGAACCGGAGAAGGGAGGAAGTCCAGATCCATTTCCAAGATTTGAAGGAACCACGAGCGCTTCCAGACTGCTGCTATTTTTGGGTGGGATTCAGTCACATCCCAGCAAATTCAGGTTGTGCAATTACAGGTGATTGGGAAGCCTTGCACAGCTAACCCCCCCCCTTCCCCCAAAGGACCAGGGTTCTGGGACAAGGAAAGCGATGAGGGAATGCTCTGGAAAAGTGTGGGGGTGACAACTTGCTTTTGACACAAAGCCACCTAACCTCCCCACAAGCAAATCAGGATGGATGCTCAATAAATAACCAGCGTCATCCACTTTGTCCGCCAATAAATCAGGGAGACTGCTCAATGAACAGTTTGTCTGGAAGTGCCTCAGGTCTCCTCACTGCTTCTGTCATTCAAATATATCTGTCTGATTGCAGCTTGAGTGCAATTAGCCCAAAACAGAACCCCCAAGTTCAGAAGCACTCTACCTCTTGAGTTACCAGATGGTGGGGATAAGCAAGAAGTGAAAGCAAGGGATGTTGTACTATACAGTGGTACCTCGGGTTAAGAACTTAATTTGTTCTGGAGGTCCATTCTTAACCTGAAATTGTTCGTAACCTGAAGCACCACTTTAGCTAATGGGGCCTCCTGCTGCTGCCATGCCGCCAGAGCACGATTTCTGTTTTCTCATCCTAAAGCAAAGTTCTTAACCCGAGGTACTACTGAGTCTGTAACCTGAAGCATATGTAACCCGAAGTACCACTGTATTGTAAACTGCCTTGCAATCTTTGGGTGAAGAGTGGTATAGAAACTTAATAAATAATAATACTTTCAGCATCAATTCCCATTGCTACTTCTCCATTCTAACCGCCCCGCCCCGCTTCTGAAGTGACTCTGTGACATAGGCCTGCATGTGTGTAACACTTAGTTGGCCAGCTTATAAATCTAGAGTAGTCTTCACATATGCCTGCAGAGTGATGCTTGAGAGGGAAGCGAACCCATCCAGAATAGGTGACTCAACCATTTCCCAAACTTGGGAGCCACTCACCCACAGGACCTCCTCCATCTTGATAGCATTCAGATTTGGTTCACTGGCCCTCATACAGCCCCATCACTGCATAGTCAGAGCACCTTTTAATGCCAAGCCCTTCAAGGTGGCTTACATCAGAGAGGGAGAGAGCATAGGAGGTGGAACCCAGCAAAATATATCCACTGATGCAAGGACTTTTGGCTGTGCAAAGGAACTTCTCCCTCTCATCTCCCTGTGCCCCCTAAACCTGTTCTGGGAGTTCCCCCAACCCTCTGAAGCAGATTTGAGGATGGCATGAGGGCACGAGAGGGGACGCACAAGTGGAAAACCTTGAGCTAGCCTATCTATTTAGTTGAATACTGCCACACAAACCACTGGATGCAAGCTAGAGCTCAGTGCAGAAGGAAAGGTGCTCAGAGTACTGAATTCAAGTTTCTTTGAGCACTAAACAAGACTAAGCAGGTGCCAGGAGAGACAGGGGTTCTATCCCTTTAACCACCGTACAGAAGAGTGGATATCTGCATAGAGATATGATGCATAGAGCTCTGAACTTTCTGAAACAAAAGGCAAACTGAAACACAGCCATCTTTCAAAATTTGCACTGTTCCGAAATTTGCAGTGTGGTTCTCCAATCAAGTAATGTGTATAAAAATGAATATACTAGCAAAAGGTTTGCATAAATGCAAAGGTTAGTGTAAGTGACATAACAAACAGGCATAATAGTAGCAGGAATTGATTGTAGGTATATGTTATTAGCTAAAATTTCTTTAAAAATTGTTTTAATTCTGTATTGCAAGAAACACTGTGTATAATTGGAAAAATTCCGAGATTTGGCAACTGGCATTCCGTTTGCAAATTGCTTAATTTACAGCAAGGCAGGGGAGAAATTTGAATCGGTTCACATTTAAAGATGAGCTCTCTCAATTCGCACTTTCTGAAACATAGTGCAAACTGAAACACCATTGCTGTACAAAATTCACACTTCTGAATTTTGCAGTGCAATTCTCCAATCAAGTAATGTGTAGGAAAATGCATATACTGGGATAAAGTGTGCAAAAAAATACACAGTATCAGTGAAAACAACATACAACAATGCATTATATTTAGGAAAATTGCGTACAAAAATGTGTACATTGGGAGAAATTTGCACTAAAATGACAGTGAATTTGTAGGAGGACTTTTAATTTTTTAAAAAAATCACAAACTGATGTAGTAATGTGGAGAACAGAACTTAAGACTGGGAAAAGGAGAGATGCCGAAGCTGACAAATTTGCCCACCCCTCCTGGGCACCTGAGTGACACCACTCCTCCTTCTCTGACTCCTTTCTAAACTCCTTTCTCCTTTCTGCCTGTGGATCCAGGATCTGGGACTCTGGAGCAAGGGCCTCTCACGCCTTCTGGTTCTCTGGACTGTGAGGAAGCAGGCCCTCTCAGGATGCACACTGCTGTCAGGCTGACTGAGGCAGCCAGCAATGAGGAAGGGGAGAGGCAATGAGGCCTGCTGGGATGTTACCTGGTGGCTATCAAGCAAATGCAGGGAGCGGATTGGTCCTGTGGGTTGCTGTGGGTAGTGACCCAAAGGGCCCATGCAGCAGCCTGGGTGCTTGTCTATACTGCTTTCCTCCTGACTGATTCAGCTGCATCTTAGTGGGTAGGTGGGGACAATCCACACCTTTCCTAATGCAGGCAGGGTTTTACCCTGGAACATAAGCACATAGCTCAATGATGCAACATCTACTTTGCATGCAGAAGGTCCCAGGTTCAGTCCCCCCAGCATCTCCAGGTAAGGCTGGGGTGAAATAAAACCTTGGCCTGGAGAGCCAGTCAGTATAGATAATACAAAATTAGACCGACTTAGTTTAAGGCAGTTTCCTATGTACTTGCAGCCTCTGTGGTCCTGGCATCAACGACTGGGTGTTGGAGCTGAAGAAAGACCCGTGAGGTGTCTAATTCCTCTCAGCTGCTGTGGCTGAGAGCTGCTTGGCGGCGTTTGCAGCGTGAGTTTGAGTCCCAGGGGCTCCCTAACTTTTGCCTCTGACATGACATTTCCCCCCAAGGCATGAAAAAAGTGAGCAAGAGCATATTCCCCCCGCTTTCTCCTCTTGGAACTCCAACCCTCCTCTCCTGCTTCCTAACTCCAGTGTGCTCGGGAGTTAGCCACTGGAGGCTGCCGCTGTCAGTCTCTGGCTGCCCTTGTTGTATATCGCAGAAACAGATGAAACTTCCTTATCTTGAATCAGACCCTCGGTCTGGCTAGCTCAGTATTGTCTCTGCTGACAAGCAGTTGCTCTCCAGTGCTTTGAGCAGGGAATTTCCCCCCCAGCGCTTCCTGGAGATGCCAGGGATTGAACTTGGGATGTTCTGTGTGCAAATCAGAAACTCTGCAACTGAGCTATGTCCTTCCCTTGGTTTCCTAGCGAAAGAGTGCTTCCCTGCCTGGTGGGTGTCCTGCACTCTCTTGTCTTAGGAGGGCTGTGTGCTGTGTGCAGGTTTGGGGATATTTTGCATCTTCTCTGTTTCCTACTCCTGCTCTGCATTTTGCTCATAAAACAATGCTAGTAAGGAGCCCAAATAAGGCGGGTTTTGTCATGTGTGTTGTGATGCAGAGGTGTGTGCTGCAGGTGGGGGAAACCCAGACAGATGGGCAGGGTATAAATAATAAATTTATTCTTATTTTTATTCTTATTCTTCTTATTAGTTTATTGGTGGCTGCTCTGTCTGTGGGCAGCACGGGGCTGTAATTGCCAGCACAGTTTCTGATTTGTGGCATTTCCTGGGATGATGTGGGATCACCTTTCCCCATATGTGCCCACTCAACTGCTTTGCTCAGTGGAACTGGCACTGTTACAGGTACCACCAGGGCTCTCCTCCCCCGGTCAGAACTCACCAGAACTCAACTCCAGCACCTCTTAGGTGGGCGCCATTGCCATTTTAAGAGGAAGCATTCATGGTGAGTTCCGGCACTTCTTTTTCTAGAAAAATAGCACTGGGTACCACCTAATACTCATTCCGCGCTTGTAAGAAATCAATGGTTTAGTGTGGCAGCCCTTTCACTCTGGAACTCCTTGTCTATTGACATCAGGCAGGCATCTTCATGGTACTTTTTCCAGTACCAGCTTAAAAAATGTTAGTTTAGGCAAACCTAAATTCAATTTTTATGAGAAACTACCTAATTCATGCTTCTTTAACCAATATACTGCAATATTTCAAAAGCCAATATTTCAAAATATTTGGTGATGCAGTTCTCTAACCAATCAATATGTATGAAAACTTACATTATGCGTAAATGTGCATAAAAATGCATATATTAATGAAATAACAAATGAAATGCCTTATATAAGGGGAACTTGCTTGCAAAAACGTGTGTGTTGATCAAAACCGCATATAGAAATGTGTTTAAAACGCTGATGAATTCTCATAAAGATGGAAGAAATTTATTGCAAATTGCTGTAAAGATGCAGAGAACTGAATTTACGACTGACAAAATAACTTAGGAAAGTGAAATGGACAGATTTGCCCATCTCTAGCCCCAACAAGGGTGAACCACATCACTGAGAACTAGATCCGAGATCTACAGCTTAACATTGGGCAACTGGAAGCTACCTCACCTGGAGTCAAAGGGCAGCAGTGATCCAGGACCCTACAGTCTAATGTAGTGACTTGCAGGCTTAGATAAGGAAGAGGCTGTTTTGGGCTCAGTACAGCTGGGGAGTAGGGGGGTGTTCTATTACACACACACACACACACACACACACACACACACACACACACCAAATACCACTTCTCCCTTCTGTATACCTGCTCTGGAGTGGATGCGTGCTTGGAAAACAGTCATCCTGCAATGCCTATCCTGGAGAACGGAGGAGGCCTTGAAGAGCTTCCGACTGAAGGTGGGGAAGGGGCGAGAAGGGAACCTGCCCCCCTTTCTATGCCAGAGGCTCTGCAGCTGGGTGCCTGGGAGGGGGGTGGCTCAGGAAGCAGCTCTTTGCAAGCAAGGCCAGACCGTGAGACACTCGCTCATTAATGGGAGCTCTTTTTCCCCAACCTCAAAGCCTTCATTGTGGTCAGGAACGCAAGGCCCACCCGATTCAGACGGGGGTTGTGTGCGTGTGCGTGTGTAGATGGATTTACGGCAGGCACTCTCTCCCCTGTTCACCCACTCTCGCTGGCCCCTTTCACTGGGCATCCTCAGCAAGAGTGCACCTGTTTGTGTGTGTGTTGTTTTGCAAGCCTCATTCCCTAGCATAGGAATATCAGAAGATGACGTAAATCAGGAGAGCCTATTTCTGCACTTCGCCCAGTATTGCCATATTCGGCAGGAACTCAGGCAGAAAAGAGTGTCTCTCGTCATCTGAGCTCTGAACAGTGTCAGGATTTGAACTCAGGACTCTACAAAGCAGGCATTCCACCACTGATGTCAGCTTTTCTGTCTACTGACCAGGGACATGGTAACAGGGGCATGGGGACCTGCCTTACACCAAGGCAGGGGTAGCCCATGTGGTATTCTCCACATGCTGTTGGACTGCAACTCCCATCAGCCCCAGCTAGCATGGGCTACTCCTAGTATAAGGCATGTCCTTATAGGCTTATATATCTGCCATCTCTTTTACTGGGTATGGGCACAGAACAGTCGTGGAGAACCCACAGGCACAGGGGTTGAATGCAGCCCTCTATGCCTCTCTTGCAAGGCTACACACATCTCCCCAGGCAAAACCCCACATTGTCTGCTCCACCCCCTATTTGAGTGCTTATGCCTGCCTCAACTGTGTCCTTGAACTGTAATATTGCCTCCTGTCTGACCAGATGGAAGCTAGAGAGGGGTCTCTCTCTCTCTCTCTCTCTCTCTCTCTCACACACACACACACACACACAATTTCTGTGATTGAAATTTAGCCAAATGTACAAAATCACTGTCATAGCTCCACCCCCTTTCATTTAAACAATAATTTGTATAACACTATTTACAAAACAATCAAAGCAGCTAACAGCAACCACACACACGCACGTAAATATTTAAAATCAGAGATCAACTCTCATGGAAATATATTTTCTCAATTGCCTGCATAACTATTGCAAAATATTAAAATTTTCAAAAGATGTTTGAAGGTGAAACGTCTGGCCCCCAAAAAGTCCCCCATAAGGGAATGTGCCCCTGCAAAAGTATCCCCACCTTCATACAGAAGAGCCCAGATGTTATGGGTCCCAGCTCCCCCCCCCCCGGACACTGTTTTAACCCCTGGGACCCATTCCCTTCACAGAAATGGCAAGAGAATCACGGCCACAGAGAGCCAGACCAGGCTTGTGGCCAAAGATCTCCTGGTAAAAGGATTGGGAAATCATTGCAGAACAGGCTGAACAAAAATAGAAGCAGCCTAATATGTTTATAAAGTTATTTAATTCTATTTCTTCCCAATGTGCAATCGGGTAGAATACTTTTCCTTCGATCTCCACAAGTAAAATAAACCAGAGACTTAAAAAGAAAAAAGTAAGAGCCTCTCCTGATGTCCATTTGTGATGATTTGTGCTCATGCTGGTATCAGGGCAGTTATATAGGCAGTCCTACTTTCAGTGTCCATGCCTGCAAAGGTTCAGAGCAGACATCATGCTCCATTTCCAATCTGAGAATGTCCTCTAACTTTCTGCTGGAATCCTGTAGCTTTTCATACCACAAATGTTCTAGTGTTGGGTGGGTTGTCTCACTTTCGTTGCACTGTTGCAAAAAATGCCCCTCCAGAACGCAGCATTACAGTAAACATGGAGGAAGCATCACAGAGGAACTAATAAAGCGGAATGATATGGGGACAAGCCTGTATAAATCTACCACTAATGCACTATTGTTTGGTCAATGACACTCTGACCACAAAAAAGACATTCCAGTACATTCCAGAAAAGGACCAGGAATGTCCCCCACAGGGCAAGACCCTCACAGCTCACACATGCACACACACGTCATCATCGGCTACAACGTTGAGCTAGACGCATAAATAATCTGGAAACACAGGAGAATCCCAGCTTCTCTGGCGACCTAACAAGACTGAACTGGTGCCAGAAGGCCTTTGACCAACACATAAAAGAGGGAATATCTGCACAGAGATGGGATATAATTTTGATCCAGTTTGTATTTAAAGGTGACTCTACCTTATCTAAGCTTTATGAACCAGTACATAAATGGAAAGCACAGCCATCTTTTGCAATTCGCACTCATCCAAAAATTGCAATGCTGTTCTCCAGCAAAGTAATGTGTGCAAACCTACATATACTAGGCTAAAGTGCACACAGAAATGCATATAATAATCAAAAGAACATATATATTAGGTCACCTTTATTTCTGCAGCTTTCCCCCCTTAACTCTGCACTGCTATGGCATGACAAGATACCAAACAAACAATTTCTAAGCAACTCTTAAGCGACTGGAGGCTTTGTCACCCACGGCGAACACACTTGTTTTGTTTGTTCAGCAGTCACCTCTGATCAAATAGGTTCTTCAGGTTTTCCACAACAGTACTTGTGCACAACCAGAGCCCAGAGCAGGTATGGGTGTGCAATGTAGCAGGCAAATATGTGGACCTACATACCACTATCACTACTCCTGGGGAGGTGTGGGGAACTTTTGGCCTTCTAGATAGTGCTGGGGCTAATGGGAGCTGTAGTTCAGCAACATCTGGAGGGCTACAGGTTCTCCAAACCTGCTCTTGGGGAGAAAAGCTATCACCTCTTTTATGCCAAAGATAAATTGTCCACACAATAATTGGCCATTCTATACTAGACCCTGTCTCCTTCCTAGAGCTGGGCTGTGATCATAGGAGTCATTTTGTTGCAAGAACCCTGAAGTCCTCATTCGCAGCCCCCCTCCCCTCCCTTTCTCTCCCCTCTTGCTTGCTGTTTTCCTTTAACTGCTGGAACTTACACAAACACACTCCAGGCTGGCCTTAGAACCCAGGAGTCCTGGCCGCCTGCCTGACCGCCTGGCTTGCTGGAATCAATAGGCAGTGCCGCCACTGTTGGGGAAATGAGGGAGGATGGTGTTTTTGCTTGATGGGCTGGATAAAGAAGAAAATATCCAGTGATCACTAATGCTGACCTTGCTTTGTGTGTGGCAGTTGCCTTGCTTGTGAGCAAACTTCTGAAGCAGTTTTTGGCTGCTTGGGTTGGAAGGACAGGAGAGGAAGCCAGCACACGCACACACACACACGCACGCACACACACACACACACACACAGAGAGAGAGAGAGAGAGAGAGAGAGAGAGAGATATCTCATGGATCTTGTTGTCCCACTGCACCCACAAGGCTGGCTGTCTGCATGCAAAGGAATGGTAAGTGGGAGACAACTCCAGTCAATGATTTTGCCCATTCCCCCACCCACCCACCCACCCACCCACCCTTTTTGGCTCTGCAAAGG